ATCAAACATAATTTATATTCAACATAGTAAAGGGCGGCTAACTGTATTCTGTACTACATAACTCCAAATAACTTCATACTCAATGGTAAAGGACTATTACATTCTCCCTACGATTAACAACAATAGACATTAATGTCTATTTTAATGAATAGACATTAGAAAGGAAACCTAAACTTTATATTTTTAATGAATGCAAAGATATCCTCTGATGGTGAAATGAGAAAAGGTGAAGTGGTGAAAACTACCAAATACTTTTCTCCAAAGGATACCTCTAATGTAGAGGAAAAGAGATCTAAAGTGGCACAGGGGCAGGTCCTATGATACTGGCAATATTTGTTGCTGAACTTATTGTTTGATAAAACTGCCTACTTTAATGCTATTCTTTAATTTGTATATATATATATTATATGTTCTTCATGTGTCATATAATTCACTGCACAAATCTCAAATAAATGTCAGATCATATTATTTCTTTGACGAAACCTTTCAGTGCTTTCCAACTTACTTGGAATATAAATTATGTTGGCTAGTGATTATCTTCCTTATTGAAGATCTAGTTTCACTTCTTTTTTTTTTTCTTCTTTAAGTCTGAGAGTGTTCTATACATAATAGGCTTGACTTTTAGTAGTTTCAGTATGCCCTTTATTTCTGCTAAGGCAGGTTCCAATCCTGCAGCTGTGTTTTATTTTCCTTGTGACCTGACTTTATCTCCTTCATTTCCTTGACTTCTTCTTTTGTAACCTTTAACTGGGTCCTTGTTACCTATTCATTTTATCCTGTTTTCTCTTATGATTTTTTTGTTCCTTTTCCACCTCTTGTATTCCATTGTGAATGCAAATCAGTTTTGTGACATTTTTCTTCTGGATCCTGCTTACCTTTACTTGAATACTTTTCATCTTCTAGCTGCTATATTCTATTAAGCACATTACATCCACTTTTTACTAATTTTTAAAAATATCATTGTATTATATTTTATGATATTCACTGTGGTTATGAATAATATGAGTTCTAGGAAGGTTGAATAAAAACTTCCGTAGTGGTGGAGGGTTGGCATATATGATATCTGACTTTGGAATCTCTGCTCCTAGATTCTGTCTTTATTGACACTCTGTTTAAATTATATTTGAAATTGAACTTCTAAAAATCCAATAATAAAAAAATAAATAAAATAAAAAATAAAAATCCAATAATAGACCTGCTTGTTACCCAAAGCACTTCGTAAGATCCCTTTGTACCCCCTTTATTTCTACTTGTATATGAAATTTTTGGCCTCTGTCTAGAGGCTGAATGCAGTTGGATTTTGGTCTTATGGAGGGAAAACTGAGATTATTGTTTCAGCCTTACTCACTGAGTTACTCACACCTGAATAATAGAGATGCTATTCTTGTTATCTAGTTGGTAAACTCTCGGAGTCATGAGCTAGAAGGTAAAGTACTTGGAGGTTTTAGACCAAGGAGATATTTCATGAAGCCAAACCATATTTTGAAGCATGAGTAGATTTTTCTCAATTGACATCCATTCAATTTATAGTTAGTTCATCAGCTACTAGATTCTAGTATAAGTTTACCATCAGTGGTAGGGATTGCTAACTTTCTCTAAAGGGCCTACTTGGCATTGTAATAAAAGATTTTAGAGACAGTGCATCAGAGGCTACTAGGAAGAAGCAACTTTGAGCCAGAAGTTGATTTTTGCACCTAAATTGAAATCTTCTTTTACACTGCTTTGTTCTGTATGTATACCACTTTATGTACATTACTTACCAAGTAATCTACTTTTCAACTAGATCATCAGCAACTTTAGAATATGGTTCTGATTTATGTTTCTCTTGATTCCAGTGAGTAAATTGTTCACTAATTTGCACTAAGTAAGCATTAAGTAATTTCGGGGAAAATTCTCTTTATTCTTAATTTATCTGAAATATTAGAGATGAATGCAGAATAAAGAATCACTATAGAAAATATTCCTTACCTTTCTGGGTATTAGTGGAATATGAGAGAGGAAGAATATGTTCATAGGAATAGTTCTATGTAAATTACTCACAAAACTATTTATTTAGCAAACATAGTGTCAGGATGCCCAGTCTGAAGTAAGTCAAATCTAAAATGTGTTAAATGACCATGGCTGGGGAAATAAATATTTGAATATTTATATTTTCCATATTACTCAATAATATTCATGTCATGTTTATTCAGCCTGCATGTTCGCTATTTTTAAAAATAATGTTTAATAATCCAAGATTAGGAAATACAAAACAAAACATTGTTTTTCAAATTGGTACTGCTTCGACATTGATGAAATGCCACTTAATGCAATTGTCAAATAAATAGGAAGCACAAAATTGTGAATTGGTCATATCACACTCTGTCCTCACATCTCAGATATTTACCAGTGATACTTCATAGGAAAAATCACATTTAAAAAACTCGTTATCGGGCAACCCCGGTGGCTCAGCGGTTTAGCGCTGTCTCCAGCCCAGGGCCTGGTCCTGGAGACCTGGGATTGAGTCCCACATCCAACTCCCTGCATGGAGCCTGTGTCTCTGCCTCTCTCTCTCTCTCTCTCTCTCTCTCTCTCTGTATCTCTTATAAATAAATAAATAAATAAATAAATAAACAAACAAATAAATAAATAAAATCTTTAAAAAAAAAACAACTCATTTTTGAGGTGCCTGGGTGGCTCAGTGGTTGAGCGTCTGTCTTTGGCTCAGGGCATGATCCTGGTGTCCTGTCATGGAGTTCCACATTGGGCTCCCCACAGGGAGCCTGCTTCTCCTACCCATGTCTCTGCCTTTCTCTCTGTGTCTCTTATGAATAAGTAAATAAATAGATTGATTGATAGATAAATAAATAAATAAATAATTTTTAAAAACCAACAAACAAAAAAAAAACCAGCAAAAATTAGGGGACAGTGTTCCTCTGCTTTCAGAGGCTTCTTTGTTAAAAAAATAAAAATAAAAAGCTCATTGTTTTGGAAGGAGTTCATCTGGAAAATCGCAGACACTGTGGCCTATTTATAAAATAATTCATATGTGGGTGATAACTATTTCCCTGTGTTAATGTAAAGGCAGTATTTATTTGATGTTTTGCCAACTTTTAAGTCATACTGAAAAAGTTTACAATAATCAATGGATTCTTTCAAAGTGGAAATATTGGAGGCTTTATATATGAATAAGATGACCAAACCTCTTGGAAATTAGAACTTTGCAGGTTCTCAACAATTTTTTGCATGCTTGTGTATGTGTATAAAAAGGCATTTGTGGTACATTAGCAGGACCATGATATTTAGGTAATTACAGTTCATTCATAAGTAGCTTACTATAATCTCATAAATATGTTTACATACAGCCAAGAGGCATAAATGATCTATGAATAAAGTCATCATTTGTCTTGGGTACCTGATAAATTTCAATTCTACATTAGAAAGAAGGACTATCATAAAGATGAAGAATCAAGCTGAAAGAAGTACTAATTATGACACTTTTATGAGACTTAAACCAATCCGTGAATTTTCACATTTTTAAACTTCCAGATTTAAGCCAGACTCAAGAAAGAAAAATGAACGTGAGAGGATTACACTTTGGGACAGAGTATGAGTTGTGTGTTAGTCATCACTGTGTCTTTAAATATGTATATGGAATTCACATGAGTTTGGTATCTTCAAGAAATGTTATTTATTATCTTTAGAATCTTTTACTATCAATATTAGGAATAGTTATTAAGGTTCTTTATCTTTTCATTTATATCAGGAGTCAATTATTTAATGGAAAAAGAAATTCTCACTTGTTTTAAAAACAATATCTTGGGGTGCCTGGGTGGTGTAGTTGGTTGGCTGTCCGATCTTGGTTTTGGTTTAGGCCATGATCTCAGGGTTGTAGGATTGAGGCCTATATTGGGTTTGGAGTCTTTGGGATTCTCTCTCCCTTCTCCTTCTACCTCTCCACCCCCATCCCACCCCCGTGTGTGCACACATGCACACTCTCTCTCAAAGAAATAAATCTTAAAAAATTAATAAAAACACTGTCTTACACAATTTTCTATAATCATAGGATGTTTCATCTGTGGAAGATTAACCCTAACTGGAAGAATAAGCTGTAAGACATGATCTGCCTAATGGTGACCACAATTTATTTGGATACCCACTTGCTGATCAAATCTTAGTAGTCTTGGACTAAATCCATCATTTTTCCCTGCCAAGCTAGCTTCTCCTCTCTTTGCTAGTTTAGCAAACTGATGTCTCCATGTTGTCAGGTAGCAGTCAGGAATGTGAAGGTATTTCTAGACACCCTCTTCTTTTTGTTTTATTCAGAGTCTTTTACCAAATCATGTAAATTGCACATTTTCAGCTGTTATGAATTTTTCTTCTCCTGTCCACCCCTATTGTAGATTTTTTTTTGTCAATACTCTCATCATCATTTTGGGCTAATGAAATGCTCCTCTAATCACCCATCTGTCATTCTACTGCCGTGTATACTGGCTCTATGTTATCAACTGATAAATTAGAAAATCATTAAATTCTCCATAAAGTGTTCTTCAGATCCTATATAACTTGGTCCCTGTGTGCCCCTTTCATATGGTCTCTTTACAGGACTTGAACCCTAACTGTAGCCATTCCAAATTTCATACAGTTTTCTAATCACACCAGGCTGTTTCCTAACTGCTTCTTTTCATGGTGTTCTTCGCTGAAAGTTGTCCCCACTCCCCACCTTCTTCACCATGCCCCTTCCCTAGCTGGCATATTCATTTTTCAGCATTCAGATCAAATAGGTAAAATAGATAACTTTCTTTTGTGTCCTATATAAACATAGGTGTCTCACAGTATCTATGACACTTTATTAACACATATCCATTTACTTGTCTGTTTTGTCATGATAGAATGAAAGCTGCTCAAGTATAGACCTACTTTATTCATCCTTGTATCTTCAGAAAATTGCGGTTTTAGAAAAAGAGTATATGGTTAATAAATGCTTATTGGATGATAGATGAAGTAACAAAAGTTAATACCTGGGTTTTCAAAAGGCATTTCAGGTGGAAGTCATATTTTTTTATTACTGTAGAGAGGCACTGTCTGGAAAGAAAACAAAAGAACTTTGTTTAAACGTGGGTAAGGAAATTTATTAACTTTATAGCATATTTATCATAAGTCGTTTTGTCTGTGATTCTATAGCAGACATGGTTTAAAAAGGATTGCTATTGATAAGATCTAAAAACCACTTGAGATGAATATTTATAGACTTTGTGTAACTTGATAGGCTACAAACATACTTGAAAACTTTAGAACTCAAAAAAAAAAATCCATGACAAACTAACCAAACCACTCAGACTGTTCATTGTATCAAATTACTCTTTTTGTTATTTTTTTTATTTTTTATTGGAGTTCAATTTGCCAACATATAGCATAACACCCAGTGCTCATCCCATCAAGTGCCCCCCTCAGTGCCTGTCACCCCCACCCCCCACCCACCTCCCTTTCTACCACCCCTTGTTTGTTTCCCAGAGTTAGGAGTCTCTCATGTTCTGTCTCCTTTTCTGGTATTTCCCACTCATTTTTTCTCCTTTCCCCTTTATTCCCTTTCACTATTTTTTATATTCCCCAAATGAATGAGACCATATAATGTTTGTCCTTCTCCAATTGACTTATTTCACTCAGCATAGTACCCTCCAGTTCCATCCATGTTGAAGCAAATGGTGGGTATTTGTCATTTCTAATGGCTGAATAATATTCCATTGTATACAGAGACCACATCTTCTTTATCCATTCATCTTTCGATGGACACCGAGGCTCCTTCCACAGTTTGGCTATTGTGGACATTGCTGCTATAAACATTGGGGTGCAGGTGTCCCGGCATTTCACTGCATCTGTATCTTTGGGGTAAATCCCCAGCAGTGCAATTGCTGGGTAAACTACTCTTGATTCAAAATTTAAGTTACAAAAGGAATAATGAGCAGATAATGACAAATACTAACATCAAGAATTGTTAAATATTCAAAACCTTGAAGAGAACTGCTTTGAGAATTAATGACATATATTTATAATAGATAAGGTTGCTTTGACATCAAACCTGTGTTTTTTCTTTCCTAAGCTTCTCTTATTGCTCCATATTTATCTATGCTGAGGTGAAATAGATGTGAGATGTGTAGAGGTTCTTCCGACTTCACTAATCAAAATTATTTTCCTAAACATGATTTTCCCTATCCTATTTGTCCTAAAAACTTCTGATTGAATTGAACAAATAATACAACACAAAAGGTGTCAAGAAAAACCCACAACATATTTTACAATAGCTGCCTTTTCAACCTTTATTGAATAATCGCTTTAGTTGGATCACATATAACAGTTCAAAGACAAAATGTATAGACTATGTAAAAGTCGGTGGAGGTATAGGAAAAGAATAGTGAAAAATTTGGCTGTTGGAGGGAAGGTTTTTACATAAAATCTGACCCTAAAACTTAAAAGACCCTCAAGAATATATACCCAGTTCAATACCTTGCTATTAAATATCATATTTATTTTATTTTTAAAAAATACTAATGAAGGTATGTGATTTGCCCAGCTTCTAAGAGGAAGTCAAGTCAGGGAAGAAGAAAACTGAAAACAAAGCTCCTGCCATCTAGTGTTTGATCTTTTAATGACACCATAGAGTGATCTGAGGAGGGCATGCAAAATAGTCTTATTTCAGAAAGCAGTCTTGAAGTCACCAAGATGGCAAAGTAGGCAATCCCAGCCTATGTCAAGGTTAGACAACTATCCACGAAAAAAAAAAATTCTGGGAGAGCTTAGGAAGCCTTCTAAAAAACTCTCACAACACCGTAGAACAAAACAAAACAAAACCAAAACCAAAACCTGAGAATAACCACACAGAAAGAAAAAGGAAGGCAGCCTCTTTTTGCCTGCCTCATCCCATCCTGCAGGCCAGCACAGCTCACTGCCAAAAGGGAAATCCCCTTGCTGGGAAAGGGAGAGTGGGTGAGCCAGCAGCTTCCTCAGCCTTTTGGGCCACTACAAGAAGGACCTGCATTGATTTTACTCCACCCAGGAACCAGCAAAGCTGAGATGCATAAAGACAGCTAGCCACAAGAAAGGGCTAGGGCTGTCATTATCAGTCATGCAGTGGGAGTTACCGTGGTGCCCAGTTACCTGCTTTGCTGGGCCTTAGTAGCTTTTATTACTGAAGAACCAACAACCAACAAAGCAGCTGCAGACCCCCTGCAGATTTCACTGCTTTCCCCACACACAGGTATTCACATTCACAAACAGCAGCTGCTTGAGTCCCTCCCCTCTCCCTTTCCTACCCCACTGCCATCCCAGGGCTCACCTATAGCTGGTTCTCAAGTTGTGCACCTGCAAGCCTTTGGCCTGACTTCTATACTGGCCTTCACTGCCATGCATATGTGTTAGGGAGACATTGTAGGCACAGGAATGCATACCAACAGCCAAGGCCCCCATAGCTGCTTGTGAGCCTGGTTTTGTCCCTATTTCCTGCCACTGTGGGTTTGCCTGCAATCAGTCTCTATAGCTGTGTACCTGCATCTAACCAGTCTGATTCCCATAGTAGCCTTTACTGCTGCACACATGGTCAAGGGCTTTAGCCACAGGAGTTCATGCCAACAGCCAGGATCCCCACAGTGCCAGTGCACCTACAGTTCTAGTTCTTCTTGCTGGCCCTGCCCTCCCCCACTATATGTATGTCTGCAACCATCCCCTGCCACTACACAGACACCTGCAGCTGGCCCCCACAACTATGTGTGTGCATGCCACCAGCGCTAGCAACAACCACTGCCTGCCCTGGTGTCTAGCTGCTGGACCTGGAAGCACCACTGAAGATGCCCCAAAGCACTTGATTTGTCAATGACCACACAACTGTCGATGTTGTGGGGCCCAGTGGCCTGACCTGAGAAGACATCACATTCACCAACCTGGGTATTCCACATGATTCTGCACTTGGTGCCCTGTACCACTAGGCCGAGGGTCATATAGCATGCGCTAGTGTGCGTCACCTGCAGGTGAAGATCCTATACTGAGGTAAGCCCATAAGGTCTGGAAGATCTGACTGCTTCCTCCCATGCACAGGCACCTATGCAAGGCTCCAGGGATCACAGAGACTTGGGGAAATATGACACTACCAAAAGAACACAGTAAACTTACAGCAACTGACCTAAAAAAAAAATGGTGATACATGGATCGCCTGACAAAAAATTTAAAATAATTGTTCTAAAGATACTCAGAAATATGAGAACACAGAAAGACAATTTAATGAAACCAGCAACACAATATCAGAACAAAATGAGTTCAACAAAGGTATAGAAAACATAAAAAATAACCAGAAGTTTTGGAGCTAAAGAATAAAATGGTTGCACTGAAGAATTCAATAAATATCTTTGGCAGAAGAAGAGACCAAGCAGAAGAAAATATCAGTAAGTTCAAAGAGAGATTATTTAAAATTACCTAAACAGAGGAACAAAAAGAAGAAAACAATAAAAAGGAATTAAGAAGACCTATGGGATTCATGGGACACCATAAAAAGAAATCATGTATATGTTATTGGAGTCCTGGAAAGAGAAGAGAGTGAGAAAGAAGCAGAAAGTTTCTTTAAAGGAATAATGGATTTTGAACTTTTAAACCTGGGGAGAGATTTGGACATCCAGATTCATTTAGTAATAGGCCACCTCATTATTTCAGTCCAAAACGATCTTCTCTAAGACATATAACAATTATAAAACTGTCTAAAATGAAAAACAGAATTTCAAAAGCAGCAACAGAGAAATTTTTTTTCCCTTTTTAAAAGAGAACTGCCATATAGCTATCAGTAAGTTTCTCAGCAGAAATCCTACAAGCTAGGAGACAGCAGGATGATAAATTTAAGTTTCTGAAAGAAAAAACAAAAAAATCCTACCACTCAAGAATACTTTACCCAGCAAAACTGTCCTGCAGAACTGAAGGTGTCATAAAAACTTTTACAAACAGACAAAATGAAAGGGAATTCACCATAAGACATGCCTTAGAAGAAATGCTAGTTCTTCAAGCTGAATGAAAAAATACTAATTAGTAACAGGAAAACATGAAAATATGCAATGCACCTTACTGGAAAGGTAAGTATATAGTTAATTACAATACTCTAATACAGTAATAGTGATGTGTCAATCATTTAACTCTAGTATAGAGGTTAAAGGAAGAAAAGTATTAAAAATAGTTATAGCTGCGATAATTGTCAATGGATATATCATATAGAGATAAATTCTGACATCAAAAGCATAAGATTTTGGGGCAGAGAAAAAGGTAGAGTTTTTATGCAAGTAAGGTTAAATTGTTATCAGTTTAAAAGACCATTGTATCTCTGATATTTCAAGTAAACCTCAGAATAACCACAAAACAAAAGCCTAATACAGATACTCAAAAGGTAAAGAGAAGGGAAGTATATCCTACAGCAAAGCATCAATTCAGGAAGGAAAGAACAAAGGCAAGGTGGGTAGAAGGGAGGAAGGAAGGATAAAACAGAAAACAATTATCAAGATGTCAATGATAAGTCATTACCTATCAGTAATTACTTTGAATGTAAAGTTTTCCAGTCAGAAGGCAAAGAATGCCTGAATGGATGAAGACACAACTATGTACAGCCTGCAAGAGACTCCCTTCAGTTTAAAGGACACACACATTCACAGTGAAGGGAAGGAAAAAGGTATTTCATGCATACAGAAACCAAAAAAGAGCAGAGGTAGCTCTACTTACATTATACAAAATAGACTTTAATTTAAAAGCTGTTCCAAGGGATACTTGGGTGGCTCAGTTGGTTAAGCATCCGCCTTCAGCTCAGGTCATGATCCCAGGGTCCCGGGATCGAGCCCTGAATCTGACTGCCTGATCAGTGGGGAATCTCCTTGTCCCTCTCCTTCTGCTCATGCTTTCTCTCTCTCAAATAAATAAATCTTTAAAAAAAAAACTTACAAGAAATAAGGAACAAAAGAGCCTACTATGAACAGTTGTATGCCAAAAAATTGGACAACCTAAAAGAACTGGATAAATTCCTAGAAAATACTACCTACCAAGACCCAATCAGGAAGAACTAGAAAGTCTGAAGAGATCAATAATAAGAAAATTAAATTGGTAGTCAAAAACCTCCCAACAAAGAAGAATTCAAGAGCAGATGCCTTCATGGATAAATCTTACCAAATTTTCAAAGAAAAATTAATGCCAATTCTCAAACTCATTTAAAAACTTGAAGAGGTGAGGACATTGCCAAACTCATTGTATGAGGCCAGAATTGCTCTGAGAGCCAGATAAGGACACTATAAGAAAAGAAAGTTACAGGTCAACATCCTTGATGTTTATAGATGCAAAAAATTCCCAACAAAATACTTCCAAACCAAAATCAGCAGCACATTATAAGGATCATATACACCATAATCAAGTAAAATTTACCCCTGTGGTGCAAGGATGATTCAACTACACAAACCAATAAATATGATAAGGCACATTTATAAAATGAAAGAAATCATTGATAATCTCAATAGAAGCAGAGAGAAGCATTTGAAAAAATGTAATATCCTCTCATAAAAACTTTCGATAGATTGGGTATAGAAAGAATATATCTCAACAGAATAAAGTTCATGTATGACAACTCACAACTATCATCATACTTAATGTGAGATGTCGGAGATACTTCCTCTAAAATCAGGAACAAAAGGGTTTTCACTCTCATCACTCCTATTCAACATAGTACTAGAAGTCTTAGAGTAATCAGGCAAGATAATGGAATAAAAGGCCTTCAGACTTGAAAGGGAAGTGAAATTGTATCTGATGGTGGTACAATCTTGTATGTAGAAAATCCTGGAGACTCCACCAAAATACTGTTGGAACAAAGGAATGAATTCTGTAAAGTTTCAGGATGCAGGATCAATATATACAAATCAGCCCGGTTTCTATAACCTAACGATGAAAGTTTTGAAAAATTAAGAAAAAAAAATTCCACTTAAAATAGTTCAAAAAAAAAAAAAAACTTAGGAATAAATTTAACCAAGGAAGTGAAAGATCTATACACTAGAAACCATAAGACATTGATGAAAGAAATTGAAGAAAATCGTAAGGCTTCCAAGGTTTTACATGAAAAGAGTTAATATTGTTAAAATGTCCATATTATTGTCATCAATAGATTCAATATATGTGTGTGTGTACATATATATATTTTTTATTTTATTTTTTTTTTAGTAAGCACTGCACCCACTGCACCCAACATGGGGCTTGAACTCACGACCTTTAGATCAAGAGTCACATGCTCTAATGACTGAGCCAGACAGGCACCCAATTCAATATAATTATCAAAATTCCAATGTCATTTTTCACAGAATTAAAAAAAAATCCTAAAATTAATATAGAACCTCAAAATACCCTGAATAGCCAAAGCAATCTTGAGAAAGAACAAATCTGGAATCATCACACTTCCTGATTTCAAGTGATATTACAAAGCTTCAAGAATCAAAAGAATTACAACACTGTAATAAAAAGTCACATAAACCAATTGAACAGACTTGAAAGCCCAGAAATAAACCTACACATATATGGTCAAGTAATATTTGAAAAGGAGGCAAGAATAATCAATGGGGGAAGGATATTCTCTTTAATAAATAGTGTTGAGATAACTGGATGTTCTCATGCAAAATAATGAAATTACACCCCTATCTTAAACTTTAAACCTTGCTCTGCACAGCAAAGGAAAGCATGAACAAAATGAAAGGCAGCCTAGGTTATGGGAGAGAATATTTGCAAACCATATATCTGATAATAGATTGGTATCTAAAATGTATAATTCAGTAGTAAAAATCAATTAAAAAATGGACAGAGGTCTTGAGTAGACATTTCTCCTAAAAATATACATAGAAACATCTGAATAACAAGTACATGAACAGTATCACTAATATTGGGAAATGCAAATCAAAACTACAATGACATATCACCTCACACCTCTTAGAATGGCTATTTCCTGTCAAGGCTATGGAGAAAAGAGAACCTTGTGTTGGGAATGTAAATTGGTACAACTGCTATGGAAAACAGTTTGAAAGTTCCTCAAAACATAAAAAAAAAAAAATAGAACTAATGTATCATCCATCATTCTCACTTCTAGTATTTTTTTAAATTTTATTTATTTATTCATGAGAGACAGAGAGAGAGAGAGAGAGAGAGAGAGAGAGAGAGAGGCAGAGACACAGGCAGAGGGAGAAGCAGGCTCCATGCAGGGAGCCTGACGTGGAACTCGATCTCGGGCCGGGCCGAAGGTGGTGCTAAACCGCTGAGCCACCCAGGCTGCCCATCACTTCTAGTATTCAAAGGAAATGAAATCACTATTTTGAAGAGATAGCTAGCTACACTTCCAAGTTCATTTCACCATTATTTGCAATAGGCAAGACATAGAAACAACCTAAATGTCCATCAATGAATGAATGGATAAATACACACACGCTCTTTGTATACACATATAATGCCATTGCATATAAAACAATATATATCAATAATATAAAATAGTATATATAAAATATATTCAGTATAAATTTTATATATAAGATTTATATTTATATGTTTATGTATAAAATATATACATTTATATAAAAATATTTTTATATATTTATAAAATTATGTACAATATGTACAGTCAAAATGGAATAAGTTCTTACTGAGAGTTAGATATTTGATTTTAGTCCTGGCTAACATTAATTATCTGTATGATAGTTGACAAATTTTTCAACTTTTCTGTTTGGTAAGCAGCATTACCCTGGGGTTGAAGGAAAGGGGTGGAGGAGTTAGATTTTGAGGCTAGTCTGTCCCTGCCAGGTTTCCTCTAGTCTTCACCGTGGCAGAACTTTTGCTTTGCCCTAATTTAACCCTGTTAACAACTATACTAAACAATAATCGAGGTCACTGTAATTCTGCAAGGGACATGGCAATGACAGAGTGAGGCAGGAACACAAGGAAAACTATCTTGCTCTCACTTTCTTCTCCTAGCCTACCCTTGTCTCTCTGTGCCTCGGTCAGCAGCTGTCTACATATAAGTCACAACCCCCTACCAAACCAGTTTAAGACAACCCTTTGTCTACCAAGAATTTCTCACTTTTTAAAGAATTTGTCAGGGGATACCTGGGTGGCTCAGCGGTTTAGCGCCTGCCTTCAGCCCGGGGCGTGATCCTGGAGTCCTGGAATCGAGTCCCAAATCGGTCTTCCTGCATGGAGCCTGCTTCTCCCTCTGCCTGTGTCCCTGCCCGCCCCCCCGCCTCTAATGAATAAATAAATAAAATCTTTAAAAAAAAAAAAAGAATTTGTCAGATTTGATGCCTCTCTGTAGCTTATTTTTTAAATAAATTTATTTTGGAATAAGGAAACTATAGCCTTTGTTAATATGTCATTTTGATTGGAAACTCTATGTGATCCATGGAATTAGTTATAAAATATAAATTTGGGTTGGTTTATATTAAAAGTGCTCCATAGTTCTACCCATTCGATTATTTATTGTTTGAGGATGAATATTTTTGAGGAAATAAAGAGTGGCACACATGGAAAGACACAGTAGTTTAATAAAAGAATCTGGTCTTTTCAAATTTCAGACAGATGGTCTTTGCAAATTTCAGGCAGACCTAATTTTGGTCATACCACTAATGAACTGAGTGGCCTTAGGCAAGTTATTTAACCTTCCTAAACTTTAGTTTCTTTGATTCTGAAGTAAATTTTGTGTCTTACCAGAGGGTTGTAGGAGAATTAGATAAGATAATGAATGCAAAATGTACAATAACTCCAGTAACCAATTGATAGCTATTATGAATAGCCATTATTCATAACAGTTTTAACTCATGTTTTTATATCAGGCTTTGGTTCGGAGATTAATGTTATATGCCTTCCCTACCCCAATTTTTTGCTCATTCAGCTAAGAACCTTAATTCTAGGTAAACCCATAATGTAGCCCTGATATCATCCAGGTTAGCTTCCTGATAGGTCTATTCTTTCAAATAATACACACATACATTTAGATATCAGAATCAATTAGGATATGTTCATATGTTTTACTGTCACTTGAGTTTTACAATTTCAATTCACGCTTCTCTGTTTATGATATACCAATTATTTTCAGGGAGTTCAAGAAAGAAATTTAAACCAGGAGGTGTTCACTTTCAAAGTATGGAAATTCAGTTTATACAAAGAGCTTAGTGACACATGCACACTCAAATTCACAAAATGAATGAAAAAATCCTTGAAAGCGTAATAACTGGTAGCAGAGATATTTTCAAATGAATGTTAGATTGTTCTGGAAGATGTTAGCAGCTGTTCAAATGTATCTCAATAGCTGTGAAGAATAGATAATTATTAACAAAATTTGCCAGAGGGAGATATCTATTAAAAGTACAGTAGCTTCCACTGTAGTAGTGAAAGGATAGTTTTTACAATCAACTAAAAAATATTGTGATTTGGAACTTGAGAACTCAGTCAAAAAATAGTCTTGGAACAAAGTAAAATATCTTACCTGGATACTTTCCAAATATGCATAAATTCTAGAAGTTGTTTCAGATAAAACTGACTGTGGTCATCTTCATGCTGTAGACAGCAGAATATATTAATATTTATAGTATAGAGTGAATAGGAATGAGTACCAGATAAAAATAGGTCTGTAACTTCCTGCTGTCATTTTATTCACCTCTTTTGATAACCCTCATTCATCATTTTAATACTTTGTTTTAAAGACTTTACAAGACTTGTCTTAACTCTGTAAGCATTCTTTTCAAAAGTGAATCAGAAAACTGAGCTTTGGTCAACGATAAACCTCAAGGACAACTGGAAAACATTCTGGCATCACCAAGGTCAAACATTAAGTTCTCCTCACAGGAAGGCAGTTTTGCAGACACTAGTTCTCATATACATGCACATTTTCTTTGCATTTAGGCTATGGATGCAATGGCAGTGCGAGACTTGACAGTTTTCCAGATCAGCCAGCAGACTCAGGATGAACTCCATTTTTCAACTTTACCACGTCTTGCCTCCCAAATACTAGTGTAAGAGAACTTTCCATTTCATGAACATTAGACTGTGCTAATGAGGGACAACTACTGATAGGCATAAATTCCAGGAGTTAGCAGGAGGCATGTGTTTTCTCCCAAGATGAGCAGACACTACTCATCATAAAATATCAGTCCTGTGGTCCATATGCAAACACACACACACACACACACACACACACACACACACACACACACCATATCTCCTCAATTAGCTCTTCTCCAACAGGCATTTATGAAAATCCTATGCAAGTCTGCAAGGGAGAATGCAATGTACTCCTTCATAATTGCACTATTTCACTACATATAGCTGTTAAGTTGGAGAGCTGAGTGAGTCCCTAAATGCCTAGAGTGCTTGCAATCTTGTATGTTAATATACAATCTATTTTTAAAATTGTCTGTGAGAGCTCCTGATAGAAAACATCAGAAGGAAAACCTTTATATGGCCTCAGATCAAAGGTATTTCATGTTTTTATTCGGTGGTTTTGTAAGAAAGTAGGGGGTAGAGAATAAGGTCATCACTATAATACAGTACTTTGAATGCATGCTACAAAAAAGAAAGACTTTCAGAAGAAGAAAAGAAAGTTCGTTCTTCAGTTAAAACCAAAGCGAGCATATAAATAATTACTTATTTGCATCATTCTGTGTGTAGCATAATCATATTCATTTTAAAACTGCTTTACTTGGCTGCCAGAGATGGTTTTGGGGGAGAAATTGGCCTTTGTCATATTGTCACTTACAAGAAAAGTATTTTTATTTACAAGAGCTCAAAAGTCTGGAGAACAGGTTTGAGTACTTGTCCATGGAATTTATTGTACACTTTTCTCCAAAGCTGAAGGCCACCCCTTCATCTTTAGGAAAAAGTAAAGATGTCTTTTTTTGCCTTTTCCATACAAAAATCTGTTATATGTGTTCTGTGAATGTTTCCTTGAGCTAGAATGAAAGCTTGATTTTATGATTAATATCAACAATGTTGGCAATACTTATCACATTTGAGAGAGATAAAGAACAATTTTTTTAAAAAAGACTTATGCACAATCTAATCAAGATGGGGATTATAAAATTTTGAAATCTAGAAAGATTTCTATGGACTGTCAACATGTTTTTTGAACATCTCATGGAACAAAAATTACCATATTTCAGTATAACACAAACAAGTTTAAAATAGGAAAGACATCTGAGACAAATTGAGCTTTGCAATATGCCTTATACAATTAGAGACCTCTAAAGTATCTACTGTAAGGCAATGATGTCAATAAATTTGTCAAGGAATGTTCCTGGTATTATATAGAAAGAATATTATAAGCTATTTTATGTTGTTTTACTAGAAAGAAAATAGAATTGTTTATAAATATTTTTATACAGCTAAAATTATGAAAACCATAGAAAATTTTGATACTACTTGAAACAGTATAATCAAGAAAGGAGACCATGCAGTATCTCCTTACCATATAGAATTCTTAATGGTAAAAGGCTAAAATACAATCTAGTCTAACACTCCAATTTTATGACATCAATAATTGATACTTATGTAGTATCAATAGGCACAGGCACTAATTTACACTATTCACTTATATTTCTCAATTAAGTTCTAATAATAATCATATCAGGTAAGTATTATTATTCACATTTTTCTTAACCAGGAAACCAAGGTGAATATAAGCATTTATCCAAGAGCATATATTTGAATTTGGCAATATGATTCCAGAATCTGTTTTAAACAAGTTGCCACATCTTTAAATTTGACACTCTATTTTTTATGGTGAAAGCTAGGTCTATATGCTTTGGGATTTATATGTAAAAATAATCACCACCACTAGTCCCTCATATTCACCTGTAACAGGTGTTCCTATTTTAGGCTTTAAAAGCATAGTTATCTTTTCTTTCAAAGCACATATCTCTATCAGATTTTTTTGAAAAAAATTGTTTTATTTTACTTTAGAGACAGAATGTATGCACAGGGAGAAAACCTTCAAGCAGACTCCCCAGTGAGAGCAAAGCCCTTTGTGGGGCTTGATCCAGTGACCCATGAGATCATGACCTGAGCCGAAACTAAAAGTTGGGTACTCAGCCAACTGAACCACCCAGGTGCCTCTATTTCTTTTTTTTTTCTTTTTTTTCTCTATTTCTATCAGACTTTTAAATGTATATTTTTTATTGTATGTCTTCTTTACTAGAATGAGAACTCTGCATTCTAGAATAAATACTGAGATGTCTTATTTGTTTCTGTATCTCCAGTATTTAGAAGAGTTCCTGGTATATAGTAGGTGCTCAATTATCATTAGTTCAGTGAATAAATATCAGTGTCCACATATATGTTTCCTAAGACATAATTCTGAATTTTAAGTAGGTTCACTAACATGCTCCTTCACATAGAGATCTTCAAAGGCAAGTAAAAAGTATTCAACAAATATTTGTTGAATTAATTATTTTTAGATTATATGTGTAATGTACTTTTAGCATGGTATCTGAAAGTAAATCCTTACAGATCTTAGTAAAATTGATATCCTCTCTTTTGAAATATGCTAAGAAGAATTCTTCAGAGCCAGGGTTTGGGGAGATGGCGACTTGGGATGCCTTTCTAATCTCTATGTGGAAGCCATCACTGCCCTTTAATTGAGAGTCAGAGTGGTTGAATCTCCTGGACACTAAGCCCCTTGAAGGCTGGGATCTTGTTGGTTTTGTTCAGTACTTTACTCATTAGTATTGGGCCTAGTCCACAGCAGTTACATAGTTGAGTGAATGGAGAATATATAAACATCTGTGTCATCTAGCGTATTATCTATTTTCAAATAACAGTGTTAGTGCTAGGAAAAGTGGACAAGAAAAAGCATTTATACTCTTTACCTGTAAATTGTTGAATTAGCCAAGAGATGGTGATATTCACTGTAGGAAGTAAATATTGTGAGTCAAAGCATAAAAAAGCAGCCGTATAACTTAATTCCTGCTATTATCCAAATGACACATTGAAAAGCAGACATTTCTAGAGAAAATTATACACTTTACACCCAGAAGTGACTATATGCCTGTCCCAACAACATGTGACAACATCCCAAAGATACTAAATTGGCTGGCATTATGATATAGTGAGCTCTGTCACCAGACAAGCTTTGCTCAAATCTTATCTCCCTATTTACTACCTGTCAGACTTTGGGCTATGCAGTTACTCTTTTGAATTTTTAATACTTTTATTTTAAATAGGAAAATAATAGTAATATTCACTTTTTTGCTCAAGCTGTTGTGAGTTAATACATATAAAGCACTGATAACAGATTCTTCTGGCATCTAATATATATTTAATATAGTTAATTATCATGGAACACTTATCATGTCCCAGACTTTGGAGTAAGTGGAATAGCTGTGGAAAACAAAACAAGGGGGGTCTGTGTGCTTCAGTTGGTTAAGTGTCCGACTCTTGATTTTGGCTCAGGTCATGGTCTCAGGGTATTGAGATCAAGTCCTGGTCAGTCTTCATGCTGAGGGTGGAGCCTGTTTAAGATTCTCTGTCTCCCTCTCGGCCCTCCCCCACTCTCTCTAAAAAAACAAAAACAAAAACAAAAACCCACAAAGAATATGTGTATTATATATAATGCATATATATCTAGATTTTTTACCAATTGTGCTGAAAGTCGCATTTAAACCTTTTGAGTATAACCCATGAATCCTGTGTGCACTTGCCATATAAACTGATAGCATAATTTTTGGGCTGTGGAGACTGGGCTCAAACCCAAGCTCTTCTGCTTACCAGTCCCATGAATATGATCTGGGGAAAGTCATGGAGCTGCCTGTGATTCAGTTTCCTTATTTTTAATAATATTTGCCACATAGAATTATTGTGAAAATTAAATATAATAGAAATGTTAAAGTGTCGGTGTACATTATATCTGAGTAGTGGTATTAAATGGATGTAAGTATAAGCCTTCATTTACATGAACGTGAAATGTTAGTGATTTGTGAATTACTACCAAGGAGATGAGTTATTTTTTAGCAACATGAAAGTTCTCAAGGAGAGGAAAAATTAATCATACATTTTCTCTTCGTCCCCCCATGTTGAAATGAAACGTGATGACTTCAGCTTTTTCAAAACATTGAGGACAATTTGAAGACTCCTAGGTTTATTAATATTGAGAGTATTAGTTGTACTTTATAATGTTTCTCTGTGGAGATTTCAGATGCATAGCCCTAAAGCTGTCAACACTGGCTGAGTTGAGTACCAGTTCCAAAAGATTTTTCTAAACAACTCTCTTTTGGCCTCATTATGTTATATTCCACATAGATATATTGCAACCTAATGCACCACCTGACACTTTTTATGATGAAACACCTCAGACTAGGAAAAAAAAAAGTCATGCACTGAAAATCTGTTATCTGATGTAAATGACAGGGTGATGGGATTTTTGCTTAAAGCAGGTAATTGGAAGATTCTACAGATAAAGCTGCCAAAATATCAAAGTTCATTGCATACTGTGCAATTTGGGTTTGAAATAACTCAAGACATCACATAGGGAATAAAATTCATATCTAACAGCATGAAATTGTGTCATTAAAGCACAGTAATCCCTTTTGAGGTAGTTTTATTATATATATTATGAATATTAATCTGTCCTGACTTAAATTGTGTTGACACCAACATAAATAGTCTTCAAATAGAACAAGTTATTTTTCTTTCTTCAGTGGTTTCCCCTTCACTATTTTTATTCTGTTCACTTCTGAGTGGCTTCATGGATAGTATGAATATAATAACCTTAATAAGTTTCTCATAAATGATTTTTCCAAGAGACCAATTGATTTGGATTATACTAAGGTTGCAGTAATGTGTTCATGTAATTGCTTCAGTCCAAATTGTTAACAGGCATTTAGATAAATATTTCATTATGTTTCAGTAAATATACTCAAATGAACATGTATTCATTAAGCTGTGTAATTCCAAATTGGCAACAATCCATAAAGATAGGAATATTGCCCTTAAAATGTTCAGCTTGCAAATTGAAACCTATACTAAGAAAATCTTACCTTTCGGGATAATTTTCCTGGCACTTCCCCATTTTTCTGAAGATTAAGTTGGATAACAGATTTATCTTTCTGAAATATTTTGTGGCTCCCCAAAGAGTAATCACTGAAGGAGAAAAAAAAAATGAATACAGTCATTTCCTCTCATAATACCCCCACATGTATGTTTTCCTCTCTGACTTTGTTTCTTTTTTTTTTTCCTGGAACTTAGTCTGATGAAAGTTTTATATGTAGCCTTAGTTTTATATATTTATTTAAAAATATATCATTATATTCATTTTTAGGTGACAATCTAAAATATTATGATTATTAAGATATTATAATTATTTTTAAGTGCATCAAGTTAGAAAATGGTTAGATACCTTTAGAATGGACATAAATTATAATAAAGAATATTTTACATATTCAGAATTTGTTTTATCCAGCCATCTCAAAGCTAAGGACAACATGTTCTGGAAGGTCTGATGCCACAAAGTATATGGGGGACCACAGTATCAAGGCAGTAGAGCAGTGAGGTGGAAGTGTCATGGGCTTTAGAGACAGATTTATTAGCTCCATGACAGGCAGGCCAATTAAACTATCTGAAACTCAGTATATATTTTTAGAATTTATATTATTAATATCTACATCAAAAGGTTGATGAGAAGATTAAACAGAAAAAATATCCCTACATATTTCAGAAATTTCTAATGGCATAACTTTTTTCTCCCTTCCCTTCCTTTTCTCTCTTTCCTCCTCTGTAAGAGTCATTAAAAAGGATGAATTTGTCAATGTACTTTGTTTAAGGATCTTAGTGAAATATATGAAGGATTTCAGAAGAAAAAAGCCTTGTATGTTAAAACATTTGAAGTTCTTAAGGTGATATATTTATTTATCTGGAAAATTCATTAAATATTTGGGACCACTTATTCTTAACAATGGCAGAAAACTAAAGTATTGCTCTGTTGATAGGTACTAAATTTTCTGTAACTGTTCTTATTTTGACAATTGCTAATTTTTTAAAGAAAATTCAATACCTATCCACTTGTCAAAATGATGAATGTTAGTATTCTCACATGTGTTCTACATGCTATGCCCATTCCTCCTATTAGATTCCTGTCCCAGTGCTTTCCACAAGCTGTATATTGCTCCTTGAGTTATTTCTACTGCTAGCCTAAACATAAAGCATGGCATATGTATTCCTTGAGCTCCTGCCTTCCTCATCACCCAAGTTCTGCTCCAAGGGCATTCTCCATATTCTATTACATGGCCTTAAGTTCCTCTCCTTTCACCCTCTCACCCCATCTCCTCTTTCCGTGCTTAGAGTCCTTCCTTTTTCCTATTCTTATCCTAGGATCAGCTTAAGAGATATGGCCTACCTTGCTTTTAAAATTTCCTTTCCTCAGTGTGTTGAAGTCTGGACCCTGGACCCCAGTCTAGTTTCAGCCACAGATATGGTTACTGCTTTCTTGAACTGGCTTTTTTTTTTTTACTTTACCCACCTGTATGTATACCCCTTACTAAAGCTTCCAGATAAAATAGAAGATGTCCAGTAAGTTTGAATTCAGATACTAGTGAATGATTTTTTAGTATAGGTATGTGTTCCATAATATTTGATATATAATTAAAAAATCTGGGGTTTTATGAAATTCAAATTTAACTTGGAAGCCTATTTAAATCTGCTAAATCATTTACTAAATCTGCCAATTCTACCCCTTTCTAAAAGTAGTTCTAATTCTTCCCTTATCTTTGCTTCACTCTCTCTCTCTGTGTGTGTGTGTGTGTGGCAATATTTGAGTAATTATCAGATTTTTGGTCATTATAAGATTTTTTAAGTCTCTTTTTTCCTCTATAATTCATCTCTCTTTTTTAAAAGTTACATTATGGGAGTGTATTGTCATGGAAAACATCTGAATTGTATTAAACTGTAAAAGACAAAAAGATAAAATTCTCCTCTTTCCTTTTTTTCCAGAATAATAATTTCTCAGAGTTCATGGCACTTCTTTTGTAAGCCAAAGTAAGCGACCAAGTAAATATATATTTCTGTTAAAAGTGAAATCATTTTATTTTAGTTGTATTTCTATATTCTAGCCTATAGCTAAGTATCTTTTTACTCATTTTTTGAGATTGCTTTATAATCAGAAAATTTAAACTATTTCACTCATAACAATATCTTTTGCTATGTTATTGTTCACTTCTAAAACTATATTTTTTTATTGTCTTCCTTCATTTGTTAAGATTGTTTGAGTCTTCTTTGAGTTTCTTTTTTATCTTTAGAGGCTTGGGAGACATAAATATATTTTTATCTTATAATGGTTACCTAATTTTTAAATAACATGTATCTTGAGTCTTTTCTGTTGTTATCTCAATTTAATTACTGTGTATATCACACTCTCAAATAAGCCTTAGAGCCTAAATATGACTTCAGTTTATTTCTCTTTCCCATTGCCCTCCAATTGCCATTGGTATAGAGACCATTTTGCATTTTAGTTCTAGATATTTTTATCACTTAACTGATGAAATCAAGAAAAGTGTAAATAAAAGAGATGGGAATTATAAAAAAGACAGACATCTTAGAATATTCTATTTTTAACTAAAAATATTTAGACCCTCAATCGCCTGTTTTGATAGAGTAAAAGAAGCCTTTGATATAGGATGCAAGGTCTATTGATCACAATTTTATGCCTTCTTTCTGGCATAAACCAAACCTGTAGTAATTATCTCTAACTTCTAGTTACACCTTCTTTTTAGAGAGCGTATACTTACACTTGAAACACAACCTGATTAAAGAATTGATTTAGATTTTTATAATTATTGCTGTAATCTTTTGTTTCTTCCACATTTAAACAGTAATAATTTTTAATAATTGTTATGTATCAATTATCTATAAAGAATTAAACTTAATTTTTTCATAGTAACACTTTCTTTTTTGTTCTTTATACTTATGTCCTTATATAACATCTATCTGGAATGCATTTGTTGAGTAAAAGAGTGATGTATAGCTCCAAGTTTAGACATTTTTACAACATAATGGCAATTTTCCTGGACATCTTAAATGGGGACATCTTTTCATCTCTGACTTATTATATTTGTTATGTGACCAGTTTTCATAACTATCTGATCTGTTTCTGGACTCTAAATATTATCATTAATTTATACATCTATTCCTGTGCCAGTACCAAATTGCTTCAAGGATTTAATTTTCTAGCATTTTTTGAAGTGTGGAAATGAAAGTCACTATTTCAAAAAAATTATATTATCATTTTTGCACAGTTTCTCTTCCAGAACAATTTTAGAATTAGTGTGCTACTGCTATGGAGAAAATGCTAATATAGTATTGACTTATATTTAATTTATGGAATTATGTAAGAATTAGTATTTTTATAATATTGAATCTTCTTTTCAAAGATAACTATTATTACATACACTCTAATTCTCTTTTGTGCCGTTGAGTAAAGTATTAGTTTTCTTTCAGATCATCTTTCAGGTCATAATACGTATATTATGCTTTTTTTTGCAAGATATTTTATAGATTCTATTATAAGTCAAAGTTTTTTTTCATGATATTTATTAATTGATTTTATGTGTTGACTTAGGAGGTAGAATCCTGCTGAAATACCTAGTGGTTTTTTAGTTGATTATTTTGAACTTTCTAAATAGATAATTATATTCTTCAAAATAATTACAGTTTTATCTACTGCTTTCCAATCCTTTTGTTTCCTGTTGTCTGGAACACTGTTGAATAGTAGTAATGATTGTAGACACACTTCTCATTGTCTCATTTTTATAGGATTGCCTCAAATGATTAACAGTTGGATATATTTGCTGTGTAGTCCTGCTGTATACTTTTCTTGTTCTATTTTGTTAATGATTTAAAAAATAATAGATGTTTCAAATTTTATCACACAGGTTTGCTTTATCTGTTGGGTGCATCATATTGAGAAGTTCATTTTTTTCTTGAATGTGTTAATATACTAATTATATTGATAGAGTTTCCTAATGTATAATTATCTTTACATATTTGTATAGATTTGTCCCCACTAGAAGGTTTAATTTGCAGTTTTTAAGGATTTTTTTGTATGCATGTCAAAATTTAGATAGGCCTAAAAATTTAACATTTTATTACCTTTATTTGTTTTAGGCATCACACTTAGGCCACTTTTGTAAACTGTGTATACCTTTTCTCTATTCTGTAACAGTTTATACAATTGAGAAATCTCTAGCCCTTGAGGGTTTGGTGCAATTTGCTGAAAACTAACTTTTTACTCCTCACTGCTCATTGTTTTCCTACTTTCATACTTCTCTCCTTGAGCTAATTTTGAAAGCTCATCATTCCTTAGGAAATTGTCTGGTTTTTTATAAAGCTGTCAAATGAATGTCCCAAGTCCCCCTTATTTTAAATATCTTTTGACATTTTATCTAGGAGCTCTACAGTAGTCTTGCAATTGTTTCGTTCTTCCCATGCTATCACTCTTCTTATTTCACCAGGAGGTTTTTTAGTAATTTTTCCTGTCATTAGAATTTTGGTGGGCTGGTGGGTAGATTTGCATTTTTTGTATTAATCTAGTCCTGAAGATATAAAATTATTCTAATTATAGGGGTATCATTATGATCTTGGATGAAGAAAAATCTCAGAAACTGGGAAGAAGTACAGTTCTGCTCCAAATCTCTCATCTTGCAAATAAAGACACTGGATTTGATGAAATAAGACCAGAGACTAGAACATAAATATTTGGAGTAAAAATAGCACACTTAAAATTTGTGTATAGATTCAGGCATTCCTGGTATAATGTGATACACATGTTTCTTTCTTTCTTTTTTTCCACATGTTTCTTTTTATATAAGGTGTTTTGCAAATCGTGGGCTATAAATAATAGGTCTCTTGGGAAAAGAGGTTTGGAAGACACTACTAACGTCAATACAGGTCTCTAACCAGAGCACACATGCACACACATATACAAATCTTAATAAAAACATCAACACAATTTTAAAGCAACTTCTTGCTAAACAGGTCTCCAAAGGCAAGAAAAACAAAAGCAAAAATGAACTATTGGGACTTCATCAAGATAAAAATCTTTTGCATAGCAAAGGAAACAGTTGACAAAACCAAAAGACAACCTACAGAAT